CTCGCTCCTCCAGAGCGTGTTGCTGCTCCCTGCTTGGCCCAACATTGTGAATGTTGCTCTGCACAAACTGCCCCAAAACTGCTTCTTCTGACCCAAGGACCCGGCCCCCACCCAACACGATGAGTTGTGGGGTCAGGGCTCAAAACATTTTATGCCAAAGCCCCGGAGAAGTGAGAGCTGTTAAGGTTCTGCTGTTTTAACGCTCCAGTGGAAACCTGGACAGATATTTTAGGATCAAGGGTGAATGGGAATTGCATCCAAGTACCTTTTGCTCTGGAATACTTTAGTTTTAAGGAATTGGTAGAAATAACAACTTGTGCCTGTTCGAGACAGGAGGCTGGTTTACAAGGCCCTTGTACCAACCTCCCAGCACAATTTCCAAGGGTGAAGCAGTGCTGGGCAGCAGCACAGGGCAGGGGTGGACAGTCCTGTAACACCAGTGGTGGGAAGGACGAGGACAAAGAACTTCAACACAACAGGAAAGCAGCAGTTTAATAAATAATCCATTAGAGGGAGAGATTAGCCAGTTCTAAACACAACCTGAACTGAAATAAATACATTTTGTCATTAGCTTAAAAAAAAAAAAACACCCCAAAACAAAACAGAAATGCACAGAGTAGTGACCTTTGAGAGCAGAGGTACCCGGTGGGCTCACCCCACGCCCACACTTTGTAAAGATAATCAAAGATGTCAGCAGCCATTCAAGTGCAGAGAAAAGAATAAAAAACAGCGAAGTAAAAAGTTACTATTTTGCAAAATGGCAAAAGAGGTTTAATGCAGGGTTTTTGATGTGACAAGATGAGTTTAAACTCACTTGACCTGCTGCCGTTGACACCGGAACTGCAGGAGATGGGGAATTAAGCTGCTTTTTGCCTTATGTTTGGGGCATTGTTGTCACTGACCTGGATTTTAAGTCACTGCAGACAAATTCTGGGAATAGTGATGTTAAACAGCCAGGCTCAGGCACTACACATCAGATGAAGGGGATTTTAAGAAAAAGCTCTTTTAAAAAAGTTACATTTTCATATAAAGTAACAAAAATTGGCAAAACTAGCTGAATGCTCCGTACAGATTTTCCAGTCTCCACGTGGGACGCTGCAGAATTACTGGCCCTTCAGAACGAGATGTTCTTCATTCAGGTCCAGTAATTTCAGCTCTGTCACCTCTTGTCCCAAGTCCTCTGTCACTTGAAGGCAGAATGGCAGGTGGATCACATCCCTACGCTGATGGGGAGGGAAGTCACCTGGGGCCGAGGCCCCCACTGAACCAGGCAGAAGGAAACCCAAAACCATGGCAATTAATCCCTGCCAGCTCCCAGCCCTGTCCCTTGGGGACACCCCTGCCCAGGGCCAGCCCCTGCACCAGCACAGTGAGGTACAAGTCACCTTTACATTGGTCATGGTGGACCCGCTACCCGTGCAGCTGCCCCACGCTGCATCCCCAGCAGCTGAAGAAACCCCCGTGGCCGTGGAGCCTCTCACAGCCAGGCTGCAGCCCACGGACACGGCGGTCACCTGTGGCATCACCTGGCCCCAAGCTCAGGGCTGATGAAGTGACCAAAACACTCCAGGTCCAGCACTCGCAGCGGGGGGATGTCAGCATTGCTGGGAACTCGGGGACCATCACCCTGATGGTTGGTTCTGCTGCCTGAAGGGAAGGAGAGGCCGAGACGCCGCAGGCAGCAGCGGTGGTGAGAGGGAACAGGACTAGAAATACATCGGTTTCAATAAACTATTCAATAAAGGAAAGGACTTTAAAAAATATATCTCTATAGACTTTATATCATATAAATTACGCTCATCTTTGTTTGTAACATTCCACTCCATTCTACCCGTGAAGCTCCCAGTGCCTCAGTGTGGAGGAGGGAACGAGTCAGTGTTTCATTTCACTTCATTCATGTGTGAGGGACAAACCTACTTCAGCACATTTTCATACAGTGGAAATCAATGGACTGGTAAAGCTCCAGTCTCAAAAAGGCATTTTTGTGACCAATACAGAGTTGGGATTGCTGCCTGGAAGTTTAAGTGACTGGATTTCCTTCAGGAAAGGAGCTCGCTGTGCCCGCAGAGTACAGCCTATCTCAGTAACGTTAGGGAATTTGGAGCATCACCACAATGAGCTTGGGAAAACTGGAGTCACCGCAGGTCACCGAGACCTTCTGCTCTGTCCTTCAGTCCTGCAATTAGATCCACATCAGCAAACCCTCAGTGTCCGAGGTGGCTGCCCTCTGCACGGACAATGAGCTGCTCTCACAGTTCTGATTACAGAATCTGGGTACCAGGCTACATTAGTGCAAAACAATCTGTGAATTATTTAACTTCAATGTCCACCTCCCAATTTCCTGGACCAGTTAGTTGTTGTAAACAGACACTATAAGCTCAGTTCAGCCCAGTCTAGGCAGGCAGTGCTTCCAAGCTGTTAATACCTGACAGGAGTTTCAGAGACCCACACGGAACTGCAGCTCCTGATCTGTCCAAAGCTGACACCAGCCAGCCCTGACGCTGGCAAACGCACAGAGCAGGTCAGATGCTGAACACACCCTGGAGCTCAGGTCCCCTCACGCTCCCCAAGCGGGACGAGTGGTTCTGCCAGGGCAGAGCAGGGGACACGCAGCACATTCCCCGCCTGTGGGTCACGCTGAGCTCTCCAGGGTGTCCAGCTGGTGTTTCCACTGAAGCCAGAGGCCAATGGCACTTGCAGAACTGCTGCACAGGCATGGCCTCAGCACAACTGCCTGTGTGCAAAGAGCCCAGACATGAAGTGACAGTGCTCCCTCCCTTTTGGCCTTTGTCCCCGAAGTTACCTGTCCCAAACCTCACAGAAGGCATCTCAGCCAGAGGACAACAGCTGCTGCACACACCCCACTCTGAGACAGGACTATTTTTGGCCACTGTATCATCAATTCCCTTAATAACTAATTTCTTAAGTGCTCCCAGTTTGGTCTCTGCTTCCCCAGAGATTGCTCCATGCCATCACTCCTGAGCTTACTCAAATTAGAACAATTGTTTCCTGCCCTCTGCCATATTTCTATCTATCTATAAACAACCAAACGTTCCCCTGGTTGTACATTTGTCTCAGCTTCTTTCACAACACTCAAGTATCTGCTGCTCTTTCTAAACAGAACTGAACCCTGCAGCTTGCAGTTCTGTTTTTCAACAGAACAAACCCCTTCATTAGCAGGCCCAGAAACGCTACAAACCTGTAAATTCAAATCAATTTCTTTCACCACCATCAGGATCTTTTTTGACTGAGAAAAAACAAGCTACAGTCGTTATCTGGCTTTAATATCAGATGGCAAGAGCCTGGGGGAAAAAATCAACATGCTTTATGAAAGTGCTCAAGATAAACAGCCACTTCTGTGACCTTTCTCTCAGGAAATCACGCTTTATCAAAGTGCTGAGCAGAGTTTAGTTGTTTCTCCAACCTCTCAGAGAACTGTATTTTCTAAACGACCCTTAAAGTTCCAGAAACAGATTTTTGAAAAAAAAAAAAAATCCTTCTACCTCCTCCCTGTGGAGGTGGCAACTGACAAATGTTACATCAGTGTAACAAAACCAGGAAAGCCAAACAGAAATACAAACATCTGAGCATTTGTAATTCAGGTAGTTGCCCTTCTCCCATCTGCCCCTTCTCCCTCACGTCAGTTGCAACTTCACTTCTTAATTCTTATCTTCATCAGAACATTAAGCCAGGATGGGTTTTTTTTTTTGGTCTAAGTTTCACTTGGGCCAAAATGGGCAAATTCACCAGCTCCTCCAGCAGCGAGGATGTGCCTGGCTGACTGCACTGTCTGCTCTCCACACACTCTTCACTCGGTGCATTATCACAGCACGGGCTGCACACACCGGCCTGTCCCAGCCCAGGGGGCTGCGGTGGGACCGGCAGCGAGTACCGATGACGTAAGGGGATGGGTACGTGAGACAGATGCCTCGTTTTCTTCTGTCTGGCAACTCAGTTAGTTCGTGTTAGAACAAAGACAATGCTAGCTCCTTAATTTTTCACTGGCAAGGTGAGTATTTGGCAGGTCACACCACGAAGTTCAGTATTCACGCACAAGGGCAGGTTTGCTTTACAGAACCATCCCTTCCCGTGGAGCAGTTCAGAATCTCCCCTCTCTCCGTCAGCACCAGGTGATACAATCCCATTTTTGCACCAGCTGGGTATATTTGGCTTGAAGGGAAACCCCATCCCCTCTCATTAGCTGTCAGTGGTACAATCTGTTACCTCATTTCTTCTCTCCCCCCACCCTCTCTCCCTGAACTCCCACTGGCTCAGTCCATCCTCAGTCTGGAGTTGAGACACAAGCCAAGTCCTTCTCTCCCAACCTCATACGCTGCTGTCCTCGAGCAAGGGCTCCTTGCCATCTGATCCTCCGGCCTGTGGGCTGTGGGTGTGGGTCTGGGCTCCATTCCCATGCTTCTTGTGGCTGCCTGACCTCAGTGCAAGGTTGTGTTCTGGAATGAACAAGGCCACCAGGAGCGAGAGCAGGACAGAACAAGCCCCAAACAGGAAGGGAGGCCCTGGGATAATGCTGCTCTGTAGGGAGAAAGAGAGGAATGATCAGTGCTCAAGTGCAAGGACAGAAGCAGCTCAGCAAACAGAATGATAAAACTGAACAGGTACCTCATCTGTAGGGTTGGCCATGTTGGGTTTGGAGGCCTTACCCAAAGTTTCCACCTCAGCCATTTCATTCAACTCCACGTGGAAGAGATAGAAGACAAAGCCATAGAGCGCTGGGCCCAGGCCGTTACACAGCCCCCGAATTCCAGTGATCATCCCCTGCACCACACCTGGGGACAGAGCCAGGAAAGGGAGATGGGCTGACAGCTTTCCAAAGAAACTTGTTTTATTCAAGGATGCTTACAGGTTTAAAGATGGGATCAAACATTCAGGTCTGGAATGACGTGCCTCCTACAGATGAAGGGGCTGGCTGGTGATTTGCTTTGCTCAGTGGCAGGTTTTACAAGAATCAGTAACCCTGGACTTGCTGTTTTGAGGAATGAAATGAGCCTGAGCACACCAGGCAGCAACTTCCAACTGAACTGGAATTTAAGGCAGCCAAGTCTGAGGACTCAGGGACCAAGAAGCAGGCAAACGATTAAGCAGCAGCCTCCTCCCTACCTTAGGCCACACTGAACACCTACTTGCATAATTTAAGAATTCCACCCCAAAGCATCAGCCACGGTCAAAGACAAGAGTGTCAATACCACCAAGAACAAAGTGATACTTCACAGCTGGCACAGATGTTCCTGCCACCCCTCCACCACCAACGCTGAGAATCTGAACGTGTGTCAGCTCAAGCACCTGGTGGGATGAACAAGCACCTGGTGGGATGAACTCACCCATCAGACAAACCCCCAAACCACTCACCCTGTTGGTCAGGGTCCGCGTTCCTGGAGACCATGGCACTGATGGCTGGGAAGGTGATGCTAGACATGGCAGCCACAGCTCCTGCTGCCCACATCATCCTTGGAGAGATAGAGGCAGCAGTTAGGAGCAGGATGTCAAGGGCCAGCCCGAGACTAGCACTGCAGCAGGGGGACATCTCCCTCTGCCAGGGCACGGGCAGCTGCTACAGAGCCACTGGAGGGAGAAACCCACTGATGCCAGGAGACACATGTGGGCAAACTCTTACCATGGCTGCGATCCGAAGCCGTACCAGGCAAGCTGCAGGATCTGGAAGCCTAGTCCCAACAGGATGGTGTTTTTATTTCCTATTGAACGCATGAGAATTCCCAACACTACTGTCTGGAAAGAAAAACAAGTGCTTTCAAAGTCAGTGAAGAAAGATGACAACACTGGGAGACAGGAGGAGGGGAATCCAAGGGAACTCGTGCTGCTGTGAGACTGGCTGTCACACACACGCACACTCACTCCTCTACTGTCATAACATTGTTAGAAACCAGTAGGTCCCTGTCCATGGCAATCAGAGCACAAACCATGGAGTTTCACAGAGCAACACGAGGCCACCCCATGGTTTACCACAGTTTGGTATTCAACAAACAGCTACACTCAAAAGATAAGAAAGAGGGAACGCAGGTCCAACGATGTCTGTGTGGCCACAGGGATTCTGACAACTCACCAGCCCCAATTATCAGAAATTTTGGACATTCTTATGACCACAGTGCTAGAGCCAAGGCAGAAATCACTTCTCACCTGAGCCAGTATAGAGAGAATCCCAACGACACCAATAAAGGCTGCCACAGTCTCCGATGAAAAACCAATGACCTGTGAAACACCAAAGAGGGACACTTCAGGCAGGAGATTGGTAGTGTACAAGAAAAGCCACTCCATCTGTGTCAGTAACATTTATTGACATTGCTTATCAGGTGCTTAAACATTAATTGACCGTACCTACCACTACCTCCCTGCTGCCACAGGAATACAACAGAAGATTTTCCTCTGGCTGAAGAAACAGCTCTGAATCACTGGGCTCACCTGCCTGAGAGTGGCACAGACAGGATGGACAGGGAGACCACCAGCGAGAAGCCAAGCAAGAGGCTTGGCAATGCTTACAGAGCAGTCACCAGGCTCCCACATTTATTTTTAGGAAAGCTGGAGCACGTCACTATTTCTTATGGCTTCAGCTTTACTAAGCTATTGGCCAAAATGAGCTTCCTCAGCACATGCAACAGAGACATATCAATTTGTAGGCTGGGATTCCCTGTGTTCAGAGCCTTCCCTCACTGCAGGAGACTGACCTGTCGCAGGTACAGGAAAAAGCTGGAGTACTGGCCGGCTTCAGGAAGGTAGGAGAGAAAGACGGTGATACAGATGAGCAGCACTGTAGAATCCTGACCCACCTTCCGCAAGGACTGTAGGGAAGGGTGCAAGGAATGAAAACAAAATTTTAAAAAAATCCTTAAATATTCTCCAGGTACAGCGAGAGCAAAACCAAGTGCTTAAGTCACCATCTTAGAGGGAAGTGAATGCCTGAATGAAACCAGACCAGCATTTCAGAGGATGATGCAAGCGCTGCCACAGCACACCAGACCAGGTGTACAACTGCATCAACTTACACCTTAGAATGAGGAATTTTTACCTTTCTCAGATTTATACTCAAGTGCTTTTGATCAGAATTGTTTCTCCCCTCAGACAGCCAAAATAATCTTCCTAGCAAGCAAAGGCGAGGTGAAACTAAGCAGAGCTCATCATCATTAGCAAAGGTCCTGAAAAGCCAGGGACGCAGGAGACTTCTCCTGACACATTGCTGAGTAAGGGAATTTCTATTCAAACCACTGGCACATTTCCACCAAGAGATGCTCTTGCTTCAGGACATCTGGAGCTGCTTTTAGATGCTTTGTAGCTATAAGAAGTTGGTCAGTAGCTGCTAGACAGCTTTAGGTATGTGCAGTCTGCCCTCAGTTGAACACTGTACCTTCCACAGGGTTAATCTAAACCAGAGTTAATCTCACATCCTTCACCCTCCGTGGAACACGCCTCCCTTTAGAGAGAAACTATCAGAAATAGCAGCAAGATGACTTACAGCGAATGGATCTGCTTGTTCCCAAGAGATTGGAGCTCCCCAAGAGACTGGGCGCATCTCTTCTGGCAGAGACTCTGGCACAGCCAGCAGGATGAAACCAATGTCCAGCAAAGCAACACCTGAAGCGAGCACAACCACCAAGGTATCGCCGTAGGCTTGGGACAGGTACGCGCCGATCGCTGGGCTTGTGACCAGACTAGCAGCAAACGTGGCTGACACCTGGGAGCATAAAACATCAATACAGCCTCTTCCTCCCAGAGCCTGTTTTCTCCTCCAGAGTAACCCAAGGGTATTAGTTTTGCCATCTTTGATTAAAATAATCCACGTGGACAGGGACTCTTGTAGTCAGAAAGATGACGTGTTCTCCTGGTGCAGTCCAGGCTGAGTTCTAGCAAAGGGAATTAAATCCATCCTGACAATTCACAGATGGCACTTCCAGTAACCCCACAGAAAGGGCCTGATCACAGCCTGACCCTTCCCTGCTGCAAAGCAGCTCACAGCCCAGGCTGGTTTACAGGGTAAGTAACAACACAGCCAGTATTCAGAGCACAGAGAAACGAGGCCTCTGCCTCGGTACTAAATCACAAACAGAAGAACAGAGAGGCTGCGTTATTAGTGAAGCACATATCGTCTTTTCACTGATCCTGCCCTCAGGCTTGTCAATAAATCTCTCACCCTAACTCTATTCTGCAGAGCCCCAAGTATTTCTTTCAAGAAATAAGCCAGTTATTCAGCTCCTTACCAAGCCATACGCCGTGCTGCGTTCATGCTCCTGTGTGATATCGGCAACGTAGGCAAAAATCACAGAAAAGGTGACAGCAAAGACTCCAGACATGGAAATGACAGCAAAATACCACCTGAAACAGGCAATGCCAAACGCAGAGTGAGAGAGCAACCACACGGTATCCACAGCTGCTGACTTAGAACCTCTCCCTTATTCTTCCTTCAGTCCATCCTACTTCACCGCAGCAGAAAGCGCTCAGGAGCACCGAGCTTCGGTCTGGTGGCCCATGGAGTTTTGTCACTTATTTTCCCCAACAGGAAGGAAACATTAACACCCCATAATAGTAATAACACACCTATCAGGAGAACAGGCACCAGCAGAGGAAAGACAGACTCTTTCTTCCTGATACTGAACCCTCTGGTAGAAACAGGCAAGTAAATCAGTCTCCAGGCTGAGCACCCTTCTCCACTCCTCGGACTCTTCCATCTCATCCACAAATTCAACACCTGCAAGTCCCCTGTGGTTCAGCCTCACACTCCTTCCTCTCCTCAGAATCCCTTGGTTATAACAAGAGTAAACTCACCATGGACTGATCTTCATAAGGGGAATTGGCGCGCAGGTGAAGAAGACCGTGAGGAGGAGGAAGGATTTCCTGCCCCAGACATCAGAGAGAGCACCAATCAGTGGGGCACTTAGAAAAGAAAGCAGACCCTGAGAAAGAGAGAGAGAAATCCCTCAGACAAATTCTGACTGCTGATAGCGAGAGCTTCTGACAACATCACCTGAAGATAAAAATACGGGGAGACAACA